CCGTGAGGAAGGACGATTTACCGCCACCGCCAAAAGCACAGGAACCGCCACGTTTCTCGACGAGAACTTCGACAACTCCACCAATGGATGAATTATCCATGAGACGAGAATGGAATCGTCAGAGTACACCGAAATTGCCTGATGATGATGAAATTGAATGATTTTGTTTGTGAATTTTATATATTTTGCCAGAAAATTCTATTATTTCGATAGATTCTATGAATTGGGAGGAAACGCCAAGAAAACATTGTGATTTTTCCACCAAAAATTCTAGGACACGGTAGCTTTGTTTACAAAAAAATTGGAAAGGATTTCATTGTGGCAAATTTAAAGCATAGCAATGGCCAGGGGATGCAAGTTCAAAGAGCCCCGAAATAGCTTTTCCTTAGAAAACGTCTTAACAAGGAGCCCCTGGAATACATCCAGCCATCCAGCTATCCAGCTATCCAGCCATCCAGCTATCAACCATCCAGCTTTTTTTTTTTTTTTTTTTTTTTTTTTTTTTTTTTTTTTTTTTTTTTTTTTTTTTTTTTTTTTTTTTTTTTTTTTTTTTTTTTTTTTTTTTTTTTTTTTTTTTTTTTTTTTTTTTTTTTTTTTTTTTTTTTTTTTTTTTTTTTGGGGGGAACATTACTAGTTGTAATGCTTGGATACAACAAAAACGAGCTCAACGGCTCAGCGAAGGGCTTACGTTTTATGGTAAAAAGACAAGCAGAACTCAGTTGCAGACAGCAGACAAGCAGACAAGTACGGTAAGTTTAAAATTCAATCCAAAGTAAAACTCAAGGTCCATTTACACAGTTCGAGTTCAAGAGAGCTGATAGAGTTGATCCAAGAGTTGATATTGACAATGGAACCTTTATGTTTTTGGGTTTAAAAAGTCAAAAAGCCAAAAAATCCATGCTAAAACTTTTCATATGGGTTTCCAAGCTGTCGGTTTCACTGATCTCTCCCACTTTTTATGACTCATTTAAAAAAACTTCTAACTCAATTTGAAACTTTTGTACCCCCAGAATGCCTCAAAAAAAAAACAAAAAAACAAAAAATCACAAGTTTAAGAAGCCATACAATTGTAAAATCTTCAAAAATTCCCCCATTTCGAGTTTGGATTTCAAAACTAGCATTTGTTTAGACGAAATCGGTGCCCAAATCGGCGACCACCACCTCCACACGACGCTTAGACATCAAGTTTTAAGGGCCCCAAGTACGGTGGCTTTTTCCAACTTTTAGAAAACGTCTGAACAAGGAACTCCTGGAGTACGGTAACTGTGTAAGTAACGCTCAAAATGAGTTAGACGATCGTTTGTTTCTTCTTCTTCTTCTTCTTCTCTTTTTGTACGAGATCTCAACTTTCTGCCTCAAAAAAAAAAACACATTTCTGTCTTGATTTCTTTTCTAATATGATGTTTTTTTGTCTAAAATGTCTTTCGAAAAGATTTTTGGCTCAGCGTGCACACAGCTCCTCAAAAAAGTTCAAAAATGGTCAAAAATGATCAAAAATGGTCAAAAATGATCAAAAATGATCAAAAACGGTCAAAAATGATCAAAAAATGGTCAAAAATGATCAAAAATGGTCAAAATGATCAAAATGGTCAAAATGATCAAAATGGTCAAAATGATCAAAAATGATCAAAAACAGTCAAAAATGATCAAAAATGGTCAAAAATGATCAAAAATGGTCAAAAATGATCAAAAATGGTCAAAAATGAGTAAAATGGTCAAAATGATCAAAAATGGTCAAAAATGATCAAAAATGGTCAAAAATGGTCAAAAATGATCAAAAATGGTCAAAAATGATCAAAATGGTAAAATGGTCAAAATGATCAAAATGGTCAAATAGTCAAAAAAAAGTTCAAAAATGGTCAAAAATGGTCAAAAATGATCAAAAATGGTCAAAAACGGTCAAAAATGGTCAAAAATGGTCAAAATGGTCAAAAAATGGTCAAAAATGATCAAAAATGCACTGCAATGCCGAATCTCGCCGAACCGAAATTTCCCAATCATTATAAAGGAAACATTATAAATATTGCGCCAAAAATTATGAGGATACGGTAGCTTTTTATATGAAGTTATTGTTGTACCCATGGAACAGTCAAAAACAGTCAAAAATGGTCAAAAATAGTCAAAAATAGTCAAAAATGGTCAAAAACAGTCAAAAACAGTCAAAAATCGTCAAAAATCGTCAAAAATGCGCTGCAATGCCGAATCTCGTGACAAATCCCGAAATTTCCCAATCTCCAATCCAATCTTTGTACTTGCTTTTTCTTACAAATTTGAATCTAAATAGGCCATTATATTTGAAAAGAAAGAAGTCGCAAAAAATGAACAAAAGGAACGAATTGATAAAGAAAAAAACAGCGATTTATGCTCCTGTAGCTTTAGATTTGCCGAAAACAAATCGATGGCGGCTTTTTCTCACAGCACCGAGAGAAAGCAGCACAGAGAGAACGATGGGATTCGGCAGCAGACTCAAAAATAAGCTAACAAATGAAAATGTAATTGAGATGTGAATTCTGGTAGTTATAACGCTTCTAAGCTCCGGGAGATTCGGGCCTCCGAATCCAAACGGTAACTGGAGTACGGTAACTGCAGTAACGTGAAGTAAGAAAAGAGTCGCATACCAGTGCATGCTTTGCCTCCAAGCCCGAAAATCGAATCTCAGATACCAAGGACCCGCAATGGCCAGCAATGGTCACCAGCAATGACCGGAAACGGGAGCTCGGTAGTGATAGTCAAATTGACGACAATAACAACTGGAGCTTTTCGAGGACTGGAAGGAGTTGAAGGAGCTGAAGGAGGTGAAGGACTTGAAGGCTTTTGATGGAAAGAGATGAGAGATTCGATTTGAGTTAATAAATCGTTGACAAGGGTTATTGAAAAGATTACTCATCGATATTTATCTAGAAAATCGGATACGAGCAAATCAAAAAATACAGCAGACCAGAAGGGTTTTTTTTTTTTTTAAAAAAAAAAAAAAAAAAAAAAAAAAAAAAAAAAAAAAAAAAAAAAAAAAAAAAAAAAAAAAAAAAAAAAAAAAAAAAAAAAAAAAAAAAAAAAAAAAAAAAAAAAAAAAAAAAAAAAAAAAAAAAAAAAAAAAAAAAAAAAAAAAAAAAAAAAAAAAAAAAAAAAAAAAAAAAAAAAAAAAAAAAAAAAAAAAAAAAAAAAAAAAAAAAAAAAAAAAAAAAAAAAAAAAAAAAAAAAAAAAAAAAAAAAAAAAGGGGGGGGGGGGGGGGGGGGGGGGGGGGAGTTCTTCCATTTGGTCGAAAATTCTCAACCCCAACTGAGGATCCATTCAGGTTCATCTTGAATTCAATTTTAATTTCAATTTGAGTCGTTTTCTTTCTCTAAAACTTACAAATATTAAACCCAATTGATACGCGGGGACAGTGTTATTGATGAACTTTGAATGAGGATTGATTCCATCTGTTGATAGACATTGTTCATTTATCACATTCCAGCCTTCATTCGTATACTGGAAAATAAAGAAAATAGAAAATAAAAGAAAATAGAGAAATAAAGAAAATAGAAAATTGAAAATAGATAAAACTCCTTGAATTCACCCAAATTTTTCCACAAATCATGGCATTTTCTCGTTGATTTTTTGGCATTTTCAAGTCATCATAGATTTTGGTCCCCCACTACAAAATTTTACTGGTGTATCCTAAGATTGATCAAGCTTTAAAGAAGAGATTTTTTTGAGGGTTAACTATGGAAGGAACATGAACTAAAGATAAGAAGACATATTTTATTTGTCGACTTTATAGAATCTGGCTATGAACAATCCGAATCTCAAATCAAACTCAAATCGTTTACATTCCCAACACCTATTCTCTTGCAATGAGAACAGCAGCATGTCAAGTAAGGTTGCTGTTTGAGCTATGTAAGGCTATGAAAACATTCTAGGATTATTGCAAGGGTCAATCGATCTCAACTTCGACTAGTTTCGACTCTCAAGGAAAGGGATGGACCTTGTGCAATTGTACGATTGCGCAAGGATCTGGACAGTTTGTTTAAAGAGACGATATTCAGCTATCCAGCTCTTCAGCCCTTCAGCTGTTCAGCTAACTTTCAGATGGGTTGTCACTGGTTGTTACTGCTGAATGTTGACAGAGATGTGTAGCTACAATCCGAGCGGCTCCAACAACACTGGGTGAGTTGAATGGCTACAGTCAATCATGTAGAATACCTTCTGTACTGTACTTGAAATGTTCCAGTGTCAAGTAGATTCTAAGGCACTCAAAAGTGATGTGGTGGGCTTGAATTCGGCGTCGAATATAGCTCATGTCATTTGGCCAGCACATCTGGTTGACATTCTTTTTTGAGTAAATGGGGAAGGAGACGAGTGTAGGCGTTAAAAAGGAAATGAGGTTTCCTTTTATACGCGTGTTTCACGGTATTACTAGTGCCTTATTAGACTGCAACTTTTTTGTGACTCATTGTCAAACCTCAAGTTCAGTTTGCAAGTCAAGGAAGTCAAGAAGGAGTCTAGCCAATAGCCAGAGTTGTACCAAAGGTGAGGCAAGTCAAAGCAAGTCTGGGCAAGGTAAGACCAGTCCAGGGCTGGCTGACAGGCTCAAACCCCTGATCGTCATAGCTAGATCTCCCTGGTACAGCTTTATTTCTTGGATCTGTCTGATTGACTGGTTCAGGTATTGGAGAAACGTTGTTCTTAGCTGTTAGTCTACAAACGTGCTTTTTTCCAAAACCAAAGCTTATGGTTGTTTTACTGAAACGTGAGCTGTCCTCGTTTCAAATTCTACTTTTTTTGATCATTTGTCGTTTTGCTCAAAATTTTACGACTTTTGCGGTCATTTTTTGGCTTTTTCTTTATGGTTTTTTTTCGGAATTTGATTGGGATCTCCACTTTACAGCTGAGATTAGTTGCGTTTGTGAATGTGAGTGGGTGAAGAGTTGTTGATATTTAAGGCTGAAAGGAAAGACTTTCAAAATCATAGCAAACTCGGGCATTCTCGTCTCGTCTCGCTACTTCCGAATCTACGAAAATGGTTAGTTAAAAGAAAACTTTTCACGAATTTTCAGCAGGACTTGGCCTGGCCCTGGCTAGTCCTGGTTTCGGTGTTGTTTGGCCTCACCCGGCTATACCTAGTCGGCATACAGACTCTGGGCACGCCTCACCCTAACCAGGGCCAAGTTCAGCGCCAAAAATAAAACTCTTTAAAGCGATTCTAGGAGGTAACTGTGAGTTGAAAGCTGAACTTACATATAGGACATAAGTAAGCCAATCAAAATACCGATAAGCTTACCGTATTCCAGTCGTACTCAATCCTCGTTGTCTCCGCTCTCTTCATGGTCTCTTATGGAACATTCACAAAACTTCCGACCAGCTATACTACTGCGATGAGAATATCAGCTTGTCAAGTAAACAATATAGATCTATTTGTCAAGGAAATGTCTAGGATTATTGCAAGGGTCAGTCGATTTCAACTACAACCGGTTTTAACTTCCAAGGAAAGGGATGGGAGTTGTGCAGTTGTCCGATTGCACAAGGATCTGGACAGTTTGTTTAAAGATTTCACAAATACTGTAATGTTTAGCTATTCATCTATTCAGCTATTCAGCTATACAGCTAACTTTCAGATGGGTGGGCACTGGTTGTTACACTGAATGCTGGCAAAGGTGTCAAGCCGGATTGGGTAGCTGCGCGAATCCAAGTGGCGCGAACTACACTGGGTGAGTTGAATGACTACAGTCTACCAAGAATAGCTTCTGTAATAGCTTGTGCAATACCTTCTGTAGTACATTCAGTAATACCTTCAAATGTTTCAGTGTCTGTTGCTCGACAGCTAACAACAATGCGACAATTGAAGCTCAGTGCTACGCCACCCCTAATGGAGCTTGCTACCAAAATGGATCCGGATAAAAAGCCGAGTATCTAGCAAGAAACTTCAGTTAATTCAGTGAATAAAAGTTGCAATCAAACAAGACAATTGCCTATTAGACGCATTAGTTGCTAAAGTCAAAGACAGGTTGCTGATGTAAACAACGAGCCAATGAGCTATAAATGAGGGGTAGGCAATGAGTTCTGAAGATCTAAAGAACGAGTTCGAGAATCTATCTAAAGAACGTGAACCTATCTAAAGGAAGTTGACCTATTTCGAAAATGGGTGGCTTCACTATTTTCAAATACAGTTCTATCCTTTTTCGAACTCTAAAATCTTCCTTGTTGATATTATTTCATACATTTTTATAACCAAAAAATAGCCAATTTTTCACAGAATCTTATTACAGTTTTAACAATCTTATTACAGCATTAACTAAACGATTTTTATGTACTTTGGGTTCAAATTTCTAGATTTTAGAGATTTTAGAGCTTTCCAGCTTTCCAGCTTAAATTCAGCTCACTTTTTGCACCACAAAACGCACAAAAACGATTCCTTCTCAGGTAAATCGAATATAAATGAGCAATACGCTCTATAATCTTTATTTTTTTTAAAATTGCTTTCATCTTCTTGGTACTGAGAGTTTGCTAAAATAGGTGATTCTGAAAAGTTAAAAAACATTCGATAAAATTTGCCTTAATCGCGAATTTTCCCTGTTTCAAGTACTTGATTTTAGGTTTTCAATGCGATCCATTACCTATCCATTAACCCATTAAAAACTTGTCTAAAAGCTGCTCACTCAAAAAGTGATCAAGTCACTTTAGCTGAAGAAATCTCTTATTTTTTTTTTACCTGAAGCCAACTCTGGTTTCTTTTGTCAAAAACTCTTTGAATTATAGTCAAGTTTCTCAAAAAATCTTGAAAGAATTCATGCTTTTTGGGAAATCATTGTGCAAACTTTTCCTACGAACTTCCGAACAAAATTTTTGGTACTTCGCATTGCAACGAACCAATTCGAAGCACAGACCCTACTCTTCAGGTCTCGCAACGGCTAAAGAGTGTCATTTCCAATGTCAACAAGGCAAACTAAACGAAGAAGCTCATTCGAACGACAAGGACAATAGGCCGGTGACCGGGTACACCAAACAAGTATCGCTTTCTAGGTCTTACTGTAGCCGCCGAGCTGGTGCTCGTCGTGGTTCCCGATATAATGATCACTTTCAATCCGTTTGACCTGGCAAAATATCAGCTCATTTGGTACATTTGTGCCGGCAGCAAGGGTCCGTTTGATTTATTTGCAACTTTTATGGACTTAGAAGTTCATAAAGTTACTTTTATGGACTTCTAACTCCATGAAAGTAACTTTATGAACTTCTAACTCCATCAAAGTAACTTTATGAACTTCTAAGTCCATCAAAGTAACTTTATGAACTTCTAACTCCATCAAAGTAACTTTATGAACTTCTAAGTCCATCAAAGTAACTTTATGAACTTCTAACTCCATCAAAGTAACTTTATGAACTTCTAAGTCCATCAAAGTAACTTTATGAACTTCTAACTCCATCAAAGTAACTTTATGAACTTCTAAGTCCATCAAAGTAACTTTATGAACTTCTAACTCCATCAAAGTAACTTTATGAACTTCTAAGTCCATCAAAGTAACTTTATGAACTTCTAACTCCATCAAAGTAACTTTATGAACTTCTAAGTCCATCAAAGTAACTTTATGAACTTCTAAGTCCATAAAAGCCTGTGTCCATGTGTTTTTTTGAAAGCTCCGGTTCGGTAAACGTTGTTTTTTGGTTTCTAATTTTGCTTTTAAGCGTCTTCAACGTATCTTGTCTTGTCTTGTCTTGTCTCTTTGCTTGTCTCTTTGCTTGTCTCTTTGCGACATGATAAAATCCAAAAACTTTCCGACCAATTCCTCAATTTATCGTTTTAAATAAAGTTTTTAAATAAAGAAAAGTTTTAAATAGATCTTAGATCTTTAATCAATTCTAAAAATGATGTCATTCATTGATGTCATTCATTAATGTCACTCATTTTTTAACAAATCACTTTGTGAGCGTTGAAACCTTTAACAACCGCTCTCTTTTGCCTTCTCGAAGCAGGAAAGTATAAGAAATACTGAAATTTGGCACGTATTTTTGTAAATTTTGTAGACTTTCTTACCATGAATATGCACACATCAGCTGCCAGAGACCCGTACTGACAAAGAAGTGCCAAAAACTCGATTGGTAGAGCGACTGTTTAAAGCCAGAGGCTATGCTCACCGCGAAAATACTGACCACATTGGCGCCCATCTGAAAGAGCTTGTTGTACCCTCAGTTTTCGATCGTTTGACCGTTTATAAGATCATAAACATATCAACTTTAAAATTGATCTTGCAAGAACACTTGACCAAACACTTGAGCACGCCTGGTTAGGTCAAGTGTCACTTTTACAAAACTTAGTGAATAAGAGACAGCGAAACTCAAACTCCTTTTGAGTGGTGAACACCACTCAAAGACACCACTCAAAAGGAGTTTGAGTTTCGCTGTCTCTTAACTGTAAATCTTCACACCGTATGCTCTGCTGCTTGCATTTTTGAGCTCTAGCTTTAGCTGTAGCTTTTGGGAGTCAGTTCACATTTTTAAGGCTACAAACTAGCTCGTAGTTTTTCCGCTGCGTTTTTTTAAACACACCGTTATGGCCAATTTATATTCCCTTCTCAACTCCTTGACTTTTTCGCCACTCGCGCATTTCCCGTGTTCTCGATGGAATGCACGAAAGCGTCGATGGATGAGAAAGATAACGGAAAAATCGAGAAGTGTTGTGGAAACGAGATAAAACCAGCCGCCCACTACCTGAGATCATAAAAATTAAAGCTGATTTTTAAAAAACCAACCACAGTAAGATAAATCATCCTTGTCCCGCACGCTCCCTCGGTAAAAAACAAATTCACCCCATGGGCCAAGTAGATACCATTGCAGCCTGCTGAAGGAATTTTTGGCAAGTACATCTAAAGCCCTTACGTGTGAAGGATATCACGAGAATAGCCAGCGGATAGAGGTTTAGAATTATGTATTGAAAGAGTTTCCACCGATCGAGAGCCGCATAGAAACGACCGTTGAAGATCACGGCAAATAATCGGTTGAGCCCGAGGAAGAACTGGAAACGTTTTATTTTCATTTTGTCGTTTGAGGTTTGGGCTAGAGTTTAAACTTCAATTGTTGAATTGGAATTCAATTGGCGCAGTCGGGAACACGCTTGTCTACGGCCCACACGACCCGGGCTCGACCCCAATAGTGTTTTGACTCAATTTTGACTCAGTGTTTTGACTCAATTTTTTTACCTCAATGAAAATGGAACTTCCGATCCGAAAATCTACAAGGGTGTTGTTTTTGATCTACAAAATCTACAAGGTTTAGCTTCTCTCTTCTTGTTTAGGCTTAGCTTCTTGAGATGAAAGTTGCGTACAGACAGACGGACGGACTGCTCTTTTAAATAGAGTGCATTGCAAAATGATAGGACTACTCCTAAATTTTACATTTTTTGGCTATGAAGCAACAACGCTAAATGGCTCATAAATCTTAGAAATAAAGAAAACCAAATAAATTACAACAAGATTATAGCGATTTCTTTATTTAACACCTGTTGCAAAATAGAAAAATAACAATCATAGAATCCGCATCCGCATAGAAAAATAACAATCAATCCTAAAATAAACTTGAAACAAACAAAAAAACAAGAGCGTAAAATTGATTAATAATCAATAAATTCATTAATTCAATCATTTAATTTAATTTTAATGGTCCAGACAGCAACAAATACTATTGGCACGATTTGAGAAAGGATCCAATTCTTTTTGAACGTCGAAACTTCGGAAGAGGAACACTGAAGGTATGGGGCTCCTTCAATGTGGATGAAATTCTTGATTTAGAATTTGTGACTTATCGCATGAACTCGAACGATTACCAGGACAGTAGTCGACATTTTATCGAGTTTACCAAATTTTGAAGCGTGAGTGGTGGAATTGAGCTTGCAAAATGGCTTTTTTGAGTTGCGAAATCGTGTCCTAAGTCATCCCATTAGCATAAATATTCCTCACAAGGATGTCCCACAAGTTTTCTATTGGGTTTAAGTCCGGCGAGCATGCGGGCCATTCGAGAAAATTGATGTTGTGACGTTCCAGAAAAGCTTTAGTGGATTGGCTGGTAGTATGAATCGAAGCTTTATTCTGTTGAAAAATGTAGTTTTTTTTCCTCGGGTTTGTGCTAGGAAAGGAAGCAGTTCATCCACCGCTTCAAAATTTGGTAAACTCGATAAAATGTCGACTACTGTCCTGGTAATCGTTCGAGTTCATGCGACAAGTCACAAATTCTAAATCAAGAACGTCATCCACATTGAAAGAGCCCCATACCTTCAGTGTACCTCTTCCGAAGTTTCGACGTTTAAAAAGAATTGGATCCTTTCTCAAATCGTGCCAATAGTACTTGTTGCTGTCTGGCAACAAGCTGTTGGCTGTTGTTGCTGTCTGGGCCATCAAAATTAAATTTTTCCTCATCGCTGAAGATGACCTACAAAGAAAAAAATTAGTCAACAACTCAAGGCAAGAAGTTTACTTTTCTCCAATCCAATGGTGATTCCGAGCCGAAGACGTCCTTTTTTCTCTGTGCAGCGGCTTTCTTCATGACTGCTCTTTTGATGTAAGGCTTGATTTCTTTTGAGGTACACTTGATGGCTCGAGAAAGAGTGCTTTTGTGGACGGGAGCTCCAATTTTTACCTTGACGTCCTGTAGCGACATCACCGAATTCGACAACAGATGTCCCATATGCCGTTCAGCGCGGACCGTGAGCTTTCGATGATGTCCCAGAGACTTTTTCTTGCCATAATTGAAAGGATCTCTCAAGAAATTTGAGACAACTTGGTGCGAGCTATTCATTTTCTATTCATTTCTATTCATTTTCAATGTTTGCTATGTAGCCACGAAATCGCAGGCATTCGCGGAGAGCGTCTGGATAAGTTGATGCTAAAGATTGTACGACCAGAAAGCCA